ACCACCACCACCACCACCACACCGCCAAAGGGGTGAAGCAACAGGGGCTCCCCGCGCCCTCTCCCTCAGCCCTGCTCACCGCATCTTCCTCCTGCCTGCCCATCCTGGGAGGCTCGCAGCCTCAGCTCCTCTCCAGCTGTCCTCGCTGGAAGGGCCCTGGGGAGGCGACCAGCATCTCTCTCCCATCCTCAAGTCCTTGGGGCTGAAGGCTGGGGAGAGGAAAAGGAGTCTGGGCATCCTAGGGAAGACCCTCAGTCCTAACTGCGTGGTGAAGGCGTACGTCAGGAACCGGACTCCAGGGGGATGGAGTAGGGTGTCAGGGAAAACGCTGAAGCTAGATTCCAGAAAGGACTACTAGAGGGCAGAGACTGGAAGCCCCTGACAAGGGTAGCCCCAGAAAAGCAATGAAGTGTGTCCAGTGTCCTAAGCTAGGGGTCAAGGACACCTGAGTTCTAACTCTCCGTTCTGGCTCTGCGACCTTAGACCAGCGCCTCCCTCTGCGCCCCTATTGCCTCCCCACCAGGCTGCCAGGGTGGGGAGGCAAAGTCACAGACCGCAGGCAAGCTGAGTGACTGCAGGCAGCCAAGCCCTCTGTGCCACCCACCCACCCCCTGCTGTTCTTCCCCGCATTGCCTGGGACACACACGAGACTGACACTTTCTCAGGCATGCGTTCCTGGGTCCATCCATAAATGATCAAGTACTCGGCACCTACTGTGTGTGTGTCGTGTATAGAAATAAAATATAATTTCCTACCCTCAAGAAACACCGTCTAGGCCGCGCAGTGGTGGCGCACGACTTTTTAATCCCAGCACTTGGGAGGCAGAGGCAGGCAGATCTCTGTAAGTTCGAGGCCAGCCTGGTCCATGGAGCGAGCGAGTTCCAGGACAGCCAGGGCTGTTACACAGAGAAACTCTGTCTTGATAAACCAAAAAAAAAAAAAAAAAAAGCACTTCTAACTGGGAAGACATGCAATCCAATCTTTATAATAAGTGTAAGAGTGTGATGAAGGGCAGGCATGGTCACTCTGTGTGTGGTCACTGTGCCATCCTACTGTGACTAGGGTCTTTGACATACAATGACTGTTCTTCCTTACCCATGGGGAACCAAGGCATGTGGAGGGCAAGGAGCGCTTGTGGAGTCTCCTGCCCACACCCACAGAATTACTCCTAGAATTCAGATCTTTCTCTGGGGAAAAAAAAAAGTTCATGAAGGGGGGTGACATACATCTGAGGCAGGAGGATCAATACTTTAAGGACAGCCTGGACTACATACCAAAACACTGTCCAAAAAGGCGGGGGAGGTAGGTTGGCCAGGCGGCGGTGGCGCACACCTTTAATCCTAGCAGAGGCAGAGGCAGGCGGATCTCTGTGAGTTCGAAGGCAGCCTGGTCTATAAAGCAAGTTCCAGGGCAGTCAAGACTGTTATACAGAGAAAACCTGTCTCGAAAACACCAAAAAGAAAGCGGGGTGGGGGTGGGGGATAGTAGGGTGGGGGGGGGGTGGGAGGAGAGCGGAGGGTAGGGGGAGTAGGATGGGGCTGTAGCTCAGGGGTGTAACACTTGCCTAATGTGTGGAGCCCTAGTTTGACCCCCAGGACTGGAGTCCCTTTAGAGCAGGAAGTAGCCTTAAACAGTTTTGATACCTGGTCTTTGGGGACAGGAAGTAAGCCTCCTCTGGACCAGGAGACCCACTCCCTACATCCCTACCCTGCCTCTGTCTCAGCTTTCCTATCCCTCCCTTCCCAAGTGAGGACCTGCGACTTTCTGGCCCCTACTGCTTTGAAGTATCAGCCTGAATGACCCTCTTCCGGTCAAAAAGTCCATTCTTTCCCCCACACAGGATGTAGTCTCCAAAAGGGAGAGCTCCCCATCCACACCCATGACACAAGAGGAATCTCTCTTGGTGGCTCCTTCCCGTGGCTCCCACCCACCTCACAGCCAACTCCAGCCCCTCACTCTGGCTCCAGCCTGTCTCGCCATATTCAGACCTCCCTGCACAGACACTGGCCTTATTTAGTAATGATCTTCCTGGTACCCATCCACTGTCTCTACCTCAGGGGACACTGGAAGAGAGACAGTGTCAACTTTGGTCAACTCCAGAACTCCCAAGAGACACCGCCCCCCCATCTTCTCTGGTCATAGCCAATATCCTTCCCTGGAAGCTCCAGAAAATGGGGGTAGTGGAAGGAGCTGACCGCCTGGTCGCCATGGAAACTGGGCCTGTTTCTCTGAAGATAAGCCTAGCTCAGTGGATGGAGGTGGAGAGTAGAACCATCCAAAGGGAACCGAGGACACCAGCCAAGACGGAGGGGCTGAGTGGCCACACCTGGGAGAGGACTGTTCTTAAGGAAAGTCAGGACCCGACCAAACTGCAGCCTGAGTCAAAGCCCAGGGCCATCCGTTCAGATAACACTGCTGCTGGGGTCCTCCCCACCCCGGGAGTGACAGAAAGGCTCTGTCAGAGCACTGGCGCTGGGGCCGGGGCCGGGGTGGCTCGATGCTGCCCTCATGTGGTCAATAAGGGGGTTGCCACATCTGTTAGGGCTCAGGACCAGTTGGGTTGGAATAGTCATCTTCAAATTGTGAATTAGAAAGGTGGTCCCTGCACTCTCCGGAGTCCTGTGCCCTTGCAGAGTGCGCAGGTTCCACCATCAGTGAGATTTAGATCCTGATAAGAATTTCATTGAAGAAAACGTATAAAACATAGTTGTTGTTGTTTTTTAAACTGTAGCTAATATAGTTGCTTAAATTTTGAGAATGGGAAAAGAGGTTGAAAACTTCTGACCCTAATGTGTTGCTGTTTTGATTGATTGGGGTGTTCGTTTGGGGGTATCATGCTAAGGATCGAACCCAAGGCATTGCGTTTACCAGGGAAGCATTCTACGTTTGAGCTACATTCCTAATAGCTAGATACCTCAGTTCCTGGGCTGTCCTGGCAGGATTCCAATCTGCCTTTGCTTAGCATGTCCCCTTGCTGGTCCTCCAGTTGAATGGAGGACAGTGGGTGAGAAGAGGTGCCTCTCTTCTCAATTCTTCCCCCCACCCCATCTCCAGCTCAGACTGAACCATCTCTGCCCCTCTCCCCGCTGAGTAAGTAGTTGGCTCTACTGGATGACAAGCATTCTAAGTTGCCAGAAACTTTAAAAGATTCGTGTGTTTTTACTTTATGTGTGTGAGTGTTTTGCCTGCACGAGTGTGTGCGTGCCGTGTTCATGCCACGTGCCCATGGAGGTCAGAAGAGGGCATCGGATCAGACATCAGATTGCAGGTGGTTGTTACCCGCCCCTGTGGGTGCTGGAAACTGAACCTGGGCCCTTTTCAAGAGCAGCCAGTGTTCTTAACTGCGGGAGCCTCTCTCCAGCCCCGCCAGAAACTTTTAGAAGGCTGGATTGTTTTTTTTTCTTGTGGTGATGGTGATGGTAATGGTGAAAATGATAATGACTGTTGGTTATTACTGTTACTGTGGTTATTGATCTGTCTCTCACACTAGAGACTATCGGCTATATAAAAACAGCTCCACATATGTTTGCAAATGAGGGAATGGCTAGATGAGTAAGTGAGGTTCCTGGGGAAGGGGCAGAATGGCTCAGTAGCTATCTACCCCAGCTTCCCTTCTCCAGGGCTAGGACTGCAACAAAGCTGCTCCCTTGGTTGGTGAGGACCTTCTAAGGGTATGGGTAGCCCAAGGAAAGAGCAGCAGAAAGCTCCAGCTAAGGGCTTACGGCGGGGGGGGGGGGGGGGATGCTCTCTCCAACCCAGCTATGTCGAGGAAAAGAAGGACAGGGAGAGAAAGATGTTTCATGACTGGGGCTGGGGTGGAGACCTCAACAGTGTCAGGGGCCTCCCCATGCTGGCCCCACTGTGAGGAACTAAACTTCTCTGACTACTGGGGTAGTCAGATACTGTACCCACCAAAGGCAAGTGCACCACCCTGTGAGGAAGAAGAAACCACATGACCACCATGACTTGTTAGACAAGTCTGCCCCAGAAAACCCACTTCTCCAAATCACATCCTCCTGCCAAATCTATGATCTGGGGAGCTGACACAGGAGACTGTCTATAAAGATTCCCCAGGGGAGAGCTGCTTTCCTAAAGATAATGAAGTGTACCCCTCCCTACCCAGACCCCTGGGCACTGATAGTATAAGATGGAGAGGTAAGAGAAATTGAGAAGAAACAGGCAGAGGGTAGGAAGCCAAGCCTCCCCATCTGACTGGTCTTATGTCCACTTGACAGGAGATAGTTGTGTGAAAGGAGGGAACCTCAATTAAAATGCCTCCATAAAATCAACTCTAGGGGGCTGGAGAGATGGCTCAGAGGTTAAGAGCACTGACTGTTCTTCCAGAGGTCCTGAGTTAAATTCCCAGTAACCACATGGTGGCTCACAACCGTCTGTAATGAGATCTGGTGCCCTCTTCCAGTGCAGGGATGCAGGCAGAACACTGTATACACAATAGATAGATAGATAGATTGATTGATAGATTGATAGATAGATAGATAGATAGATAGATAGATAGATAGATAGATAGATAGATAGAGTTCACAACCATCTGTAATGAAATCTGGTGCCTTCTTCCAGCCTGCAGGGATGCAGGCAGAACACTGTATGCATAATAAATAAATAAATAAATAAATAAATAAATAAATAAATAAATAAATGTTTTTTTAAAAGATCAACTGTAAAGCAATTCTTAATTAGTGACTGGTAGGGAGGGCCCAGCCCATTCTGGTGGTCCTGGGTTCTATAAGAAAGCAGGCGGAGCAAGCCATGAGAAGCAAGCCAGTAAGCAGCACCCCTGCATGGCCTCTGCATCCGCTCCTGTCTCCAGGATGTCCCAGTTTGAGTTCCTGTCCCGACTTTCTTCAATGATGAACAGTGATGTGGAAGTGTAAGCTGACGAAAAAAACATTAAAAAGAAAAAAAAAAAGAACCTAATGTGGAAGTGTAAGCTGAATAAACCCTTTCCTCCCCAACTTGGTTTTTGATCATGGTGTTTCCTCAGAGCAATAGAAACTCGAACACACCATCCCACCAACCTATGCAGTCTCCCCACAAAGCAGCGAGTTTGTGCAGAAAACCAAGAAACACACTTTTTAAACGATGAACACAAAGAAATGTGTTCACAAACACATGAAATACACTTTTCAAACGATGAACTCAATGAAAGGAAGACACAGAACTAAAAGAACAAACGAAAGAATGCATGGAATTAATGAATGAACTAAAAAGGAAGAGTGAAATGAATGACGAACGAACGAATGAATGAATGAATGAATGGGCGAAACAATCAACGCAGGAGTGAGTCAAGACTTGGTAACCAGAGACTCCCAGCCTACGCAAGCGGCAGGGGGATTCCGGAGGGGCGGGGCTCTACCCGGAAGCGCCTTTGAGGGGGCGGGGCTGTGGGCGTGGTGGCTGTCCGCCCCTTATGGGCCCGGGGGCGGGGCAAGAGAGAAGACTGGACTAGGGACCGTTCAGCTGCCCAAAGCATCCGCTGGGGTGGACCTGGCCGGAGCCCCGGACCTCTCGCGCTTCGTGTCCGTTCCTGGCGCCTGCACAGCGGGTAATGAGACCGCTCGGAGAGGGACTCTGGTTCTGCTAAGCGGACCCGCAAACCCGGAAAAGCGCGCAGCACATCTCAGAGTTAGACCCCGCTGGACCCCGGACGCCCGGGCTGGCGCGGCCGGCATGTCGGATGCGCGGAAGGGGCCGGACGAGGCGGACGACGGCCAGTGCGACTCCGGCATAGAGTCGCTGCGCTCTCTGCGCTCCTTGCCCGAGCCTGCTGCGTCCCCAGGCTCCGGACCATCGCACAGAGGCTGTCCACAGCCCTGGAGCCATCCTCCAGAGACCCACAAGGAACCAGGGGAGAAAGAAGATGCAGATGGAGAGCGGGCGGACTCCACCTATGCTTCCTCCTCTCTCACTGAGTCCTTGCCCTTGCTGGGGAGACCTGAAGTGGAGGACCCGGCCCCAGACTCACCGCTGCCCCACACGGAGGTACTGAGTCCTCAGCAACTCGAAGCGCTCACATACATCTCTGAGGATGGAGACACGTGAGTAAACTGGATAGGCTGAGACAAGATGCTCACAGTCAGAGCCTCCACAGGGGTGGCTGAGCATCCCACCACCGTCATCACCAGAGAGGATAGACCCTCAGAGCACCCTCCCTGGAAGGGCCAGCCCTCTTCTCCAAACTCCAAACTTAACTCGTAGCCTACTTTTTAAGCTGTAGTCAGGTTCAGCCCAAAAGACCAGACACCATCTCCCTCTTTGGGGAGTGGGCAGAGCTAGCAGGGCCCTTGGGACCTAGAACGCCCAGCTAGAATCTTAAAAATCTACCAGTGACCCACCCCTGGGAAGAGAAATTCCCCACAACCAATTCAGTTTTTGTTTTTCTTCTTGGGAGAGGGGATGTCCCTGTTTGCTCAATATTTGAGATCCCAGTGCCTGGCTTCACAACGCCCTATCCCAAGGAACAAAAGACAACACCAGGTTACAGGTGCCATTTGAACCCAGGAAGTTGAGTTAAGGGTGCTCCCAGGTTGCCTGTTTGGAATTGGTCCCAAAAGACGGGTGAGTAGACTGAGAATTCTTGCCCCAACAAACAGGATAGGCAGCTGGCTGCCCCAGCTCACTTCCTCCTCCTCTGAGAAAAGGGAAGTGATGGCTATGGCTTGGTGTCAGCCTCCCCAACACCCTGCACCTCCTGAGCTCCCCAAATTCTCCTCCCTGTCCTGTTTTCATTTTCCTTTTCCTCCCCTAGGCCCAGCTGGAGTCAGGTGTAGCTGGACTGAAGCAATCAAGTGTAGCCAGTATGGGAATGGCCTTAGGTAGAAGAACGTGCTAGCAGAGGGAGTGACTGGGCTTTGGAGATGATAGACAGAAGAGGGGCAGTTGGAGTCCCAGATGAGAGATGCTGGAATGCAGGGGGTACCTGTTTCGACCTGCTTGTTGGAGATGTGGGGGTCTCGGGTGGGTATTGGCAAAGACAGTCTCCACCCTGTGTGTGGGAGAGAGCAGGTTAGGTTTTCGTACTTTGTCCCTGGGTCGCAAACCCTTAGCCCAGGACCTCAGAGTTTGGGGAGGAGCTCCATGCACTACTTCTCCTACCCTCCCTTGTGGGCCTCGGAGCTCCAGCCTTGGCCCTCTGGTTAGAGACAGGTGCCGTCTGTATGCAGAGAAGCATCGGGCCCCCCACCCCCACCCCCAGCAGAGCTCTTTCCTCCTTTGGAGGTGGCTGGACTGTGGAAAGTGTGGAAGTGGGAAAGGAGCGGGGAGGAGGGGAGGCTGAGGGGGAGAGGGAGGTGGCTGCAGGGAATGTGACCCAGAGAGCAGGCCCTGGCCGAGGGGATTTCCAGAGTGGTTCCTCCCTCCCTCGTCACTCTCTCCTGGCCTTCTCTACCGCCTGCCTACCGCCAAAGCTTGCCCCTCTTCCTCCTGAGTGTCCCCCTCCCTAGCCCAGACAGGCCTTTAGCCAAGTTGCCCCCAGGCAGCTGTCCAGGTCTAGACCGTTGAACCCTGGCTTTCATTCTCCCCACCTGCTGTGGGGAAACCCCAAGACTGGAACTTCCCATCCCAGATGCCCCAGTTACTCCTGTCACCCCCTGGCCATCAAACACATTCCCTGCACTGCACCCAGCTCCCCTCAGAGCTGTACTTAGGAGAGGGTTTCTGACCAGGCCCCCGCCGCCGGCGGCCTGTGCAGGATGAGGAATGGCCCTTTGACTCATGGGTAGGGCAGCAGATCAAGATGCCGTGCATGTCCTCTTCCCTCCCTGGGAATGTGTGACATTGAGTTGCTGGGGGGAACCCCACATCTGCCTCCTCCTCCTCCTGAACTCCCCGTTGTGGGGAGGTGGGTAACTCAGCCCTGGAAACCCCCTCCGAGTGCCTCCAGCAGCTTTCAGTTTAGCTGCAGCCGGCCTGGCAAGGCCCAGGGGGCAGAAGGGAGCTGGGTGTGGGCAAGCTGGCCAGGAAGGCTGTTACCCCGTCAGCACCCTGCCCCCATGCCCACCCAGCCAAGGCCCTCCACAGGTCTAGCCATCAGATCTTGGTGCTCCCACATCCAGAATCCTGGCTTCCTGTGCCAACCCCTGACTTCCTGGCCCAAACTCTCACTTCCTGCACCGACTTGGTTGTGGGTGGCTCGTTAGAGGTTGGTGCGTTCATTCTAACCCCAAGCCCCCGGCACGCCCTCTCTGGCCGGGGCCCTGACCCTAGCCCTCTCCTCCCCCAGGCTGCTCCACTTGGCCGTGATTCACGAAGCCCCGGCAGTGCTGTTCTGTTGCCTGGCTTTCCTGCCCCAGGAAGTCCTGGACATTCAGAACAACCTTTACCAGGTGAGTAGAGAGAGAAAGCTGTGTCCAGATACCTGTCTGTAACCCGGTCACCAAATCCAGCAGCCACAACCAGAGGCCATAGGAAGCCATCTGCCAGACAGAGCCAGCAGCTGCGTCACAGAGACAGACGAGGGAGATGCGGCCTCTGCCCACGCACGAGGTGCTCGCAGCCTCGCCACCAGCACCGAATTGTACAGCATGAAAACAGTTGTACTGAAGATCACAGCAGCTTCAGTGGGGGCTGGTGTCTTTGAGGGACAGGCAAAGAAGGCCACATAAGAGTTGCCATCTTAACTGAGCCTTAAAGGAGGGAGCAAGTGGTGAGAGAGAGACTGTCCTGACCTGTCCTCTCCTCACCCGTCCCCTGCAGACCAGCCCCTGAGGACAACACAGATGTCTCCAGAGGATGAGGGACTTAGAGCAGAGGGCTCTGTTTCCCTTATCCTGCTACCAGAATTGGAGTCCCAAGCACTTGGGGGGAGGTCCTTGGGAGTAATTTCATGGAAAATCCAACTCTGGCTTTTACAGCTACTTTCAGAGACGATACTAGGACTTAAAGGTGGTTGTGCCCCATCCCCAAACATGTTCTCAGAGACAGGAGCCTGCTGCAGTGGCCCTGTGACCCTGTGACCCTCTGTGCCTGCAGACAGCACTCCATCTGGCCGTGCACCTGGACCAGCCCGATATCGTCCGGGCGCTGGTGCTGAAGGGAGCCAGCCGAATACTCCAGGACCAGCATGGTGATACAGCCCTGCATGTAGCCTGCCGGCGCCAGAATCTGGCCTGCGCCTGCTGCCTGCTGAAGGAGCAGCCAGAGCCAGGAAGGGAGCCCTCTCACCCCCTGGACCTCCAGCTGAAGAACTGGCAAGGTGCAAGTAGCCCCAGGGCCTGGGGGGCACCTTGGGGTAGCCGGGCCCGTGACAGGAAAGGGAGGTGCCTGCCTGCAGCTCCCCCCCCCCCAAGACACTTTGAGCACTCAATTCAGCCTTACTAAAGGGCTGAGGGAATGACTTGTTTGAGAATGTACCCAGTGCCTGCAGTGTGACGAGCAGACATCTAAATCTTGCCCTAGAGATATTTAATTTAGTAGCAATTGGATGAACAAAGGAACTCCCTTTCTGTGGGCCACACATGGTCGTAGGGGCAGGGCCTACATCTGTGAGCAAAACTAAGGAAGAGGGAGGCAGGTGATAGCTCTACAAAGTGGATTCTGTGTGGGCATTGTAGAGGAGCAGAGGGCGAGCTGGGAGGTGGCGGGGTTGGGGTGATTTGTTTTTTGGTAGGGAGGTCAGGGAAGTCCTCAGAGTCAGGAATCTTAGAACAGAACAGACTTGAAAGTGATAGAGGATGTAAGTTTCAGTCTAGGCCTCTATTACAGGCAGGCTTGAGAAAGGAAGGAGGTTCTAGACCAGAAGGGAAATCGCGAAATCAAGTAAAATAAAAGCCATGGGGCGAAAGAAATGGTCCCCGGGTAGAGACTGGGCCCGGGAGGATCCCCAGGCAGGTAAAAGTCTAGAGTTAGCGGGGGTGGGGTATCTGTTGGAAGGATGTGTGCATTTGGGGCTATCACTCGGCAGCCTGATCCTTGAAGCATGAAAGTTTCAATAACATGACTGAAAAAATGGAAACTTTGAGTTCCTTTCCTCTCAGACTTCTGAGGGGGTTTTGGGGAGGTTGTATTTTAACAGTCCTGTGATTAGAGGCATTGAGTAGGCAGAGTCCCAGGAGGCTAAAGGGTTGGGTAGGCCCTGGAGAAAAGGACCAGTAGACACCCAACAGCATCTCCGCCTACTCCACCTCAGGTCTGGCCTGTCTCCACATCGCCACATTGCAGAGAAACCAAGCACTCATAGAACTGCTGCTTCAGAATGGAGCCGACATTGACGCACAGGTGAGGCTACCCATCAGGGTGCCACCTGGCCCACCACCCGCCCCCACCTGCTCTAACTGCAGGTCCCCTGTTAGTGTTAAACATGTTGACCCCCCATCTGCAGAGCTCAGGCTCAGCATATTACCTCCTAACATTCCAGCTGACACCCCTGTTCCTCTCCAGGAGGCCACCAGTGGAAAGACTGCCCTGCACCTGGCCGTGGAAACCCAGGAGCGCAGCCTGGTACAGTTCCTGCTCCGGGCTGGTGCCCGGGTGGATGCCCGCATGCTCAATGGGTGCACACCTCTGCACCTGGCAGCTGGCCGGGGCCTCAACAGTATCTCCTCCGCTCTTTGTGAGGCTGGTGCCGACTCCCTGCTGCTGAATGTAGAAGATGAGACACCCCAGGACCTGGCTGAGGATGTAAGACACATACGCTCTGCCTTGCAGGGCCTCCTACCCATAACAGAGTTAGGCTCTTTCCTTAGGCGAAGGACTCCAGCCAGGTAACAGTGCTGGGGTCAGGTAGGGGATGTAGCAGTTGACAGAGTGCTGGCCTAGCATGTAAGAGGCCCTGGGTTCAATGCCCAGCACCACATACAGTGGCATATACCTGCAATTCCAGCACTTGGGAAATGGGGTGGGGGTGGGGGGGAGGATCAAATGCTGAAGGTCCTTCATCTATATAGCAACTTCAAGGCCAGCCTAAGCTACATGAGTTCCTACCTCAACCCCTCTCCTCCCCGAAAGTGCTAGGGCAGAACAGGACTGCTTCTTAACAACTGTGACATCTTGGGCTGTATCTGCCCCTCAGCTAGTTCTCTAAACTGGTCAGGCCCAAACATGGACTCTCACAGGAGTGAATCGGTGAGCAGCTAGATGGAGTATAAAGAGCTATACCTCAGCACCTATCTGCATTCAACTTCAGCAAATGTCCACAGCACACAAATCTATACCTGCTCCAGGTCTTAGACTTTTTTTTGCTTTTCAAGACAGGGTTTCTCTGTGTAGCCCTGGCTGTCCTGGAACTGGCTTTGTAGACCAGGCTGGCCTCAAACTCAGAGATCCACCTGCCTCTCCTTCCCAAGTACTGGGATTAAAGGCATGTACTGCCAGCACCCAGCAAAACTCACATTTTCTATACATAAAAAAATATTCAGAGCCTGGTGGTAGTGGCACATACCTTTAGTCCCAGCACTGGGGAGACAGAGGCAGACGGATCTCTGTGAGTTCGAGGCCAGCCTGTAATACAGAGTGAGATCCAGGACAGGCACTAAAACTACACAGAGAAACCCTGTCTTGAAAAAAAAAATTCAGCCAGGTTTGCTGGCACATGCCTTTCGTCCCAGCACTTGAGAGGCAAAGGCAGGTAGAGGTCTGTGAGTTAGAGGCCAGTCTGGTCTACAGAGTGAGTTCCAGGACAGGCACCAAAACTACACAGAGAAACTCTCTCAAAAAAAAAGAAACAAACAAAAATATTCAAAATATATAATACATGCCCTTCCCCACCCCCCCAACAACTCCAACAAAGGATAGTCCAATGGACTAGGTCAG